TGTGGCTGTAGTAATTTTAAAATTGAAATGAACCATTTGAGTTTTGAAAATTATTTATGGCATATCAAGTAGCACTTAGTGTTTTGTCACAACACTGTAACCATTTTTGAAGGCACACATAAAATATGGCAGTAAGGTCAGAAGCCCTGTTGGGTAGAACTTCGGGAAACATACCTCACCCTTGGAACTGACTATAATTCCTGGGTGCTGACATGAAGATTAATAATGCTTAACTCTGATTTTGGCAATTTTTGCCAATTTCATTGCTAGGGTCCTTTTCTTTCAAGTTATTACCTAGAATTGAAGTGATAACAAATGTTTTATGTTTTATACAGCATGATAAAAGATTTTACACACTGTTAAACACATACACACACAAAACTGTATCAAAAGGAAATGAGTAATTATGCTAAATCAAAAGATTGTCCTGATTTTAACATGAAGTGGCTAGTTGCCATGTAGTTAAATCATAGATAAAAATGGGAAATTCAACCGTATGAGTTTTTATACATTGATTCTATGATGCAGTTCAAATTTTCTTTTGTTTTTCCGGGAAATGGTGGTGCTCTTTGCTTTGCCAAATATTACTATTGAGCCAACTGCCAAAGTTTAAGAGAGAGTCAAGGGCCCTTAAAATTATTTGGTGTTGAGTGAAGAGGCAGAGAAAGGTATTCCATATACCCCCCAATTCTAATTGTTATATCTCTGCCTGATGTTGGAGTATAAGCTAGGCTTCAAGGTTGGCATGATTTCTTCTTAAAATGATATGCACTATTGAGTGAAGTTGGAATAGGAGCAAGCACAACTTTAATCATGTTCATTGATACCCAGTTTTTAGCTACATATTCTAATCTTTAATAGCATGCATTTTTTTTTTTTTGGCTTGGTCTTTCCTGTATTTAAACTGCTGTGCATCAGAGGCCTGTGGATCTGCTTGTGGTTTTGCACCATCTGGAAGTTCAAATTCGATTTCAGAAATGATGTCATCCTTGCTTACTGCAAACTGGGCTAATGTTGGTTGAGAATTGGATATGGTTCAGGTCAAAGTTTTGTATTAAAACACACACACACACACACACACACACTCAAAGACCATCAAGCTTCATTTCTCAGTTCTTAGAGACTGCACAAGTCTCTAAAGATAGAATGGAGGTGATTGAAGGACACAATTCAAATTCCTTTGAAGTTAAAAGCGTGCTTTCTGGCGCATGCTGAATAAGCTCCCTAAAAGACCCTGGCTGGCACTGCCTCCCTCCTGCCACGTTGAGTTTGAGTGTTGTGAATAGTGCGCTGTTCACAAACATCCTTGCTCTATTTTTTTTTTATTACTGCAGGAATATTCTCATGGCCAGGGTTGCTTTTCATCTGTTCTGGGCTCCAGAAGATGTAGCAGGGCCCTGATAGATCACACATGGCCAAAAGGTGCTACAAATGGAAGTGTATTATTCATCATTATAGAGTTTCTTTCTTATTATATTATATCCAGCAGCACTCACTCTCTCCTTAATTGTAATTTATTTATGCTGCAGTGTGAACTGTGGGCATTCCTTTTTCATTCACATAGAGACCGTTTAGCTTTAGATAGTAAGAAATGTGGAGCTAGTGGGACCACGGAGTCACTGATTTCTTTTCTCCCACCAAGTTCTGGCAAGACCATGTTCCAGTATGTATAATTGACTGTAACCCCTGATAGCCACTGTCATCATCTGGGAGCCTCAGCATGCCCTGGCATTTCCAAGGAACTTATTAAATGTACAGGATTTGTGCATAAGTTGTGGTGCCATTCCAGGTGGGTAGACAAGCCACTTGAGAAAAATCTCCCATGCTTCTGTGTTGGCATGGCTGGCACGCATTTTCGTTTAGGAAAGTGAGGATCCCCAAGATGTGAGGCTTCTCTCTGCTTCCCTGTTCTGTATCTCTACTAGATCCAGTGAGGAGTACAGCCATCAGATACCTGGTGGAACTGCATTTCTCAGCTTCTCTGGTCACAGAATGGCCACCTTCTCTTTACTAAGGTCAGAGCCACCCTGGAACTCTAAGCATGTCCCTGTCATCACCCTTTCTCTTCCTGGGATGTCACAAGTTCATCATCTTCTTGTGACCAGAAAAAAATCTACTCCCCTATATCCCTATCACCTTTAACTTTGAGAAACACAACGTTCGTGCATCCTTGTTGCAAAGGATAAGAAAAGAAAATTTTACTGCAGTAACTATTCCTTAACATTAATTTCATGCTGCTTGGGAACATTCTACCAAAGATGGATTGCTGCAGTTAAAAGCCTAGAATATCCCAGCACCTAGAGAGTATCTGTTATGAACATTTGGTTTTATGTGTAAGATGGAGACACTGTTTGCTGAGTGCTGGGAGAGGAGCATTCAGTGACTTGTCCTGAAGCTTGCAGATAGACAGCAGCAGAACCAGGCCTAAAACCTGTCTCCTCTTTCCATTGTTCCAAGTTGCTTTTGGACTGTGGATTCTCATCATATTTACATATCTTTTTTTTTTTAAATCTATGATTGCATTCTTTAATTCTTTTTAAAGATACATTTTTTTCTTTTTTATCCAAATTTTATCCAAAATTTATCCAAATTTTGAACGAAAATGTTCAAAATTTAGTATGAGATACAACACACCCTTGTGCCATTTCTTCTTTTTGCCTGGTTATTTGGATGTCTTTAAATAACATGCCTGCACTTCTGTTTCCTGATTGTTGATACAGCCTTGCTCTGTTGATTTCATGGTGTGAAGGCTGGGAATTTACCTCTTCTATCACCTCAACGACCTGTTCAATATCTATGTATACTCAGTGTCCCCTGACCTGTCATTCTACTGGGGTTATGCAGTAATTTGATTCTCAGGATGAAATGATATGTTATATATTATTCTCTTCCTTTCATGAGATTCTGATAAACTGTCTATTAATCCTGACTGTGCAATCATGTATTTTCTATTGGACTATCAGTTATTAAACTGCACGTTCACTGAGTCTTGACAAATCCGTATACCATATAACCACCATCACAAACAATTTAGAGGAAAAAAATCCTTTTTGGCTTTGTAATCATTCCTTTGCACTTCACACCTCTGAAGGTCATTGCTGCCATTTTTGTAACCCTATGTTAGTTGTATGTTAGTTGAAAAAGCAATCATCCAGCAGAGTGGATGTCTGTGGAGTCTTTCCACTTGACATGTTTTTAATATATATCTGTGTTCTTGTACATATTTCTAGTTATAACCTTGTATGGCAAGATACTATCCTATGGAAATATACCTCAGTTTATTTACTTGCTGTTGGATGTGTGGGTTGAGTCTAGGATGAGCTATTATAAACAATATTGCTGTGGACATTTTTGTAATCTTTTAGACTGGTTGAATGATCTTACACAATATGGATTTGTTCCAGTAAGCATACTGTATTCCTTTCGCACACCAAGTGTGCTAACTATGAGCACTTTCACATACTTCTTGCCAGAAGGATGAGCACATGTCATTGAAGACATAATTCCTGGAGCCCATGGCTGGGTCCAACCCTGACCTTTACATGTGATCAAATATTTAGATATCTTTAAAGATATCCAACAAAAATAAGTTGGTGGTTGCGTTAGTCCATTCAAGGAGCTATAACAACATACTGCATTGAGTAGCTCATCAATAAAGAACAAAATAGCTTAACAACAGAAATGGATTTTTTTTTTTTACAGCTCCAGTGGTAGGGAAATCCAAGATGAGGGCTCCTGCTCTGCTTCATAGATGGCCCTTCATGTGGTGGAAGAGGTGAATAAACCCTCTTGGGTTTCTTTTAGAACACAGTATGGGTGCTTCACCCTCATGAGTGAATCACCCCTTAAGGCCTACCTGTTGAGACTGTTACTTTGGAGATTTAATTCTAACATGAGAATTTTGGAGTGTACAAACACTCAGAAAATAGCTTTGATATCTGCTAAAATGGCAGCACAGTAATTTTGACAAGGGATCCTACTCTTTACTCTTTAGAATCAATGAAAAGAAATTGTCTTGGGAGTAATATATTAAATGTTGCTTGTCAGCTGAGAACAATTTTCTTGGAAATTTCATAGCCTGTTATTGATAATCAGCCATTAAATAAAGTATTTGTTGCAGTGACTTTTTAAGACCAAAATAGTGTACATTTTTAAACACAGATACAAATATAGTATATTTCAATTAAGTAGAATTTAAAAGGCTATAGAAGATTAACTTTAAAATGATCTTTTGATTGTTTTCATATGTTTTGGATTGCATAATTTTTCTGCTACCCCTGTGATTTTTTTTCCATATGATTTAGTCTGTGTAGTCTAGAAATAGAAGTTTTTTCACACATGGTCTTCAGAACGTTACGTTTAAAAAATAAGCTAATGTTTTCTCTTTCTAATATTGATATTTGAAAAGCAGGAAGGGTAATTTTTTCAGTTTTTGAGCTACAGTAGAATTAGTGAGTTTGGAGTTGGGTCTGCCTGCCTTCCTTCCTTCCTTCATTTCTTTCCTTCTTTCTTTCTTTCTCCCTTTCTTTCTCTTTGTTTTAGGTATGTGGAAAGCAGTCTTTCTACAGCTGGAGAATGGGTGTTTTGTTCCACATCATTTTCTTCCTCCAGCAGCCTTCACTTCCTCCTGGCAACATGTCTTTTTCTAATTTAGAAGTGTTTCTCTATGTGTCAATCTTTTTCTTCCAGATGTTCATTGCCTTCTCCATATTCTGGAAGGAGAGTATGACCAGTGCTTCCCTGGGCTCTCAGAGACCTGGAATATCTATGTGCTTTGCTTCCTGTAAGCAGGAACACCAACATTGAAATACACTATTTCATAATGTTTTAGTTAAAACATTGCTCAGAAAGTTGCACGATTGGACTCACATTTAGACATTGTACAAGCACGTGTCACTGGAGGGCCCAGGTCCTGCCCCTAGCCTCTCTGTAGACAGCTCCGATGGCGCCCAATGACATGTTTGCAAAAACCATAGCTTTCTCTTTTTTTCTGGTTTCAGGTAGATGCACTGAGATTACGACTGGAAGAGAAAGAATCTTTTCTCAATAAGAAGACGAAGCAGCTGCAGGACCTCACGGAAGAGAAGGGGACTCTGGCTGGAGAGATCCGTGACATGAAGGACATGTTGGAAGTGAAGGAAAGAAAAATCAATGTGCTGCAGAAGAAGGTGAGTAGCCGAGCTAAGCCTTTACAACAGGGAGTTGAGAGCATCCATGTTTGGTTCTTTCCGCAAACAGTTGGAGTGTGTGGACAATCAATCATCTTGTAAGAATCAGGATTAGAAAGTGCAAGGTTCTTCCTTACCTGGAATTTGCCTTCCTGTCCGTGACATAGTGTCACTTGTATACTGGCTTCCTAGATTTTTCTACTTGACAACCTACGATCTAAATATGGATAATTGACCTTCTCATTTGCCAGCTTACACATGAAGATAACAGTGCGTATTTAAATATAAATCTAAAATAATTGCCTTGGTTTGTTCCTGCTGTTATAGCAAACTTCGTGTAACTGGGTAGTTTGTAAAGATCAGCTCCAGAGACCAGAAAGGAACGAGGTTCTGGAAAGGTTGGGGTTCTATTGAGGCCCTGAACTCTGTTGCTATGATTCTATAATTGTGCCTGTGGTTGTGTCCTATGCGAGGGACGAACACTGCTTCTTCACCTTGTGAACAGACAGAAGGGTACAAAGGCCTAGCTGGTTCTTTCCAGCCTTCACTAGGTGGCTGTTCTACTTGAGGAAGGCTCTGTTTCATTGTCTTGAAAGTCGCCTATCTTAAGGTTACTCCATTGGAGATTGAGTTCGAACTATGTACTTTGGGCATCACATTCTGACTATAGCACCTGCCAAATCCATGTGGATTAAAAAAAAATAAAGTTTATTTTTATTGGAAAGGCAGATTTTTAGAAGGAGAGGCACAGAAATATCTTCCCTCTGTTGATCCATTCCCCAAATGGTTTCAATGGCCAGAGCTGAGCCATTTCAAAGCTAGGAGCCAGGAGCTTCTTCTGGGTCTCTCATGTGGATGCAGGGCCCCAAAGCTTTGAGTCATCCTCAGCTACTTTCCTAGGCCATAAGCAAGGAGTTGGATGCGAAGTGGGGCAGTGCCCATATGGGTTGCTAGTGCTCATAGGCAGTGCTCATATGGCAGTTCCCATATGGGTTGCTGGCATTTGTAGTTGGAGGATTAGCCAGTTGAGCCATCATGCTGGTCCCCTTCATGTGACTTTTTTGAGGCTGGAAGAAATAACATTTCCACTCACTACTTAATTAGAACCACTCAAGGGGGAGTTTGAAAACTTCCAGCCACAGTGATCCAACATGGGAAGGTATTCCATAGCCCATCCCGCTCCTCCTTTTTTTCCCCCCAGCAGCTCCTGTTTAACATTAGAGGGGACCCTAGTTTGGGGAAGTCACCTGGATTCTTGTTTTCAAGAATTCCCCTGTACACGGTCTTGGTGGGTCCACAAAATGCCCGGCCTTCTCCTAGAAAAAAATGCAGGCAAGAAAAGGGTGCAATGGCTGCTCTTTTGCAAAAAAGAAAAAAGCAAACATGTTGCAAAGATTTAAGGCTCTCAGGTTCACAGGTGTCCATCAATGAAACAGGGCAGAAATCTGCAGAAGTGGCCTTGCAGGACACGGCATTACACTGATATGCTGCTGGGCACACCACTGCACCTGCAGGTCCGTGGAACTAATGGACCCCTCCTCTTGGTGTCACTTGCCGCCACCATTTCTCACTTGGCTTGTATCAATAGCATCCTGACTGTTTCCCCCGCTACTTCTACCCTTATGTTGGCTGCAAGCTGTCCTTCATTCAGAAGTTGTGATAATCCTTCTAAAGCATAAAACAATTCTCGTCACTCTGATCAAAACTCTCCAGTTATAACCAGCTGCATAATTGGTGGGGCCTCTTGCAAAATAAAAATGCGCAGGCTCTTGTTCAGACACTTGAGACGTTTAGGTTAGTAAGAACAGAGCCCTAAACCAAGCATGGGGTGCAGAGTAACCTCAGAGGTCTCGGAAACAGGAGGCTCTCCCCATCATTGACCGCTTCTATCTTCACTCCAACGGTGGAAACCCTCACATGGGCCTGCCTTCGTCCACACTCCTTCGCCCCTTCCCGCCCGTCAGGCTTCCTGTATGGCTGCTCTCTCTTTTTGCTCCTCTCACATCAGTCAGCACAGCGTGGCGTCTGTGCTCTGCTGTGAGCATGTGAGACCCACTGTTTCAGGGCTCATATGTTTACAGGAGGTTCCACGGAGACCTTCTCTTCCTGGACCCGTGCGGGTAGCCGTGAGCTGTAGGTGGCTGGGAAGCTCTTGAATTGTGATGTGCTGTAAGTGTGAAATGCATATCTGGTTCTGAAGATTTATTACAAGAAAAAGAATGTAAGAGCTCTCATTAATCATTTCTTCTCCATTGTATGTTGAAATGAAAGCATTTTGATCGTATCAGTTAAAATAAAAGATCTTATTAAATTAATCTCATCTCACCTGTTTTTACTTTTGTACTGTGACTACTAGAAAGTTTAGAATTACCTTTGTGGTCTCCATTATGTTTCTGTTGGACAGGGCTGCTCTGGATATCCACATGCTTCGTTCCTTGGCTTCTTTGAGGTCTCTGCTCCCAGCGGTTGTACTTAGTCGTGGCCACTCTTTGTCCCTCTGACATAAAATAGCATAGCCACCCATGTTTCTACCCTCTGTATTCCCTCATCCAGTTTTATTTTTGTAAGTAGAACTTCTCACCCTCTGACAAATGTATATATTTTAAAATTTGTCCTTTTATATTACTGGGGTGTAAATTCTAGGAGGGCTGATTTTATTCTTTTTCCGCTGTTACATCTTTACCACCCAGAAGGTATACATGGTCATTAAATATTTGTTGAATGAATGAATGTGCTCCATAAACTCTTGAGAAGGAGTATTTGATTGGCCAGAGTCAAGTCACATGCCTACCCCCTTGAGATGAGGAAATTCTTTCCTGGGAATTTGCAAAACAGTTACGCCAAAATGTCCACGACAGGTGGCACTCCTTTGTGTCTTTGGAGAGGCTGTGGTAAAATAATCACAGAATTCCTGAGAACTAGACCACAACCTCCCCATGTTTCTGCCTTTTCCTAAGGACATTTTCTGGTCTTTTCTAAACTCTGAGAGCTGGTCTCCTCCCAGTTCACTCCTGTTCTATCACGATCAGCAGGAAACCTGAATGGGACACTCATGTATAGCATAATGTGATTATCACTTTACAAAATGCATTAAAGTTAGATTTCAGTTGAACTTTAGAGACTTTCTCTCACAAGAATAAGAAGCAGGGACACTGCATTTGCTTGGATTTCTCAGAGTACTGGTGACGTGACAGATCGTGTTATTAGTTCATTTCTGTCAAGATCTTAATGGACAGGGTCCTACTTGTTGGATCTCTCTGTTGCCTTACAAGCTAATTAATACAGATAATCAGAAGATAGCAGAGATAGTGAAGGACTCTCGACTGCGGGGACTAAACTAGGTGGAACTAACAGTGTTAATGGCAGGGTATCTTGGAGCATTTCTGAGGATTCTGTAGAACACTTTTCATTTAGAATTTCTAGGAGCACAGGCTAACACTGACGTTCATTGAACTTGTTTATATTGGACATGCTGTGTTGAATACTCTCCTATGCCTGTTGCTCACAGTGTTTGCTTATTCTTGACTATAACCCTGTGAGACAAATACAATGAATAATGTACGAAACAGGGAAATACTGAGGCTATATTAAGCTTGCCCAATGTCACATAGCTTAGATATAAGATTTGTTTTGCCTTTGGGAAAGTAGGATGAAATGGTGAATGCAAATTAAAACAATAAGCTTCGTTTTCCTCTGGGTCTTCGTTTGTAAGATTACAACACGAGGTATGATAGTGTCATAGTTGTTTGTTTTTTTTTTTCTAGGAGATGGGCCTAAACACTCTCATATTTTTTAGAGATATATTTGTTTATTTGAAATGCAGGCTTAGGAAGAGATAGAGAAAGAGGTCTTCCATTTTCTAGCTTACTTTGCAAATGGCCACAATTCCTGGGGATGAGCCAGGCCAAAACCAGGAGCCATGAACTCCATCCTGGTCTTCCATGTGGGTTTAGGGGCACAAGGACTTGAGCTATTTTCCTGCTGTTTTCCCAGGAACATAAGCAGGGAACCGGATGGCAAGAAGAGCAGCTGTTACTTGAACTGGCCCCCTTATGGGATGCGGATGCTGCAAACAGTGGCTAAACTTGTTATGCCAAAGCACCAACTCCAGCATTCTCATCCTAGAGGAATACATGTCAACAGTTTTCTCAGTGAAGATTTTAGGATGGCACCTTCAGTGCATAGATGACAAAGGAGAGTTTTGTGAAATGTTAAACTTGACCTTTAAGCCAGACTCGAAGGTGTGAGATACAGTCTGCAAACACTTGAATGAAATCGGTTGTAAGTGATGATTCCCTTGGGCGGCAGCATCACCATCTCTATGTGTTTAAGTCCTGTAGATCCTGGATCTAGAAATGCTTCAGCTATATTTGGAGAGGTGGCTCATTGAGTGTTGCTAATCTGCTTGGGAAGGCAATGATACCACTAGGAACATGATAATGGGTGGGAGCTCTGTTATACTCTCCATAGAGGAGGCATAATCCCCCCAAGAAGTAATAACACATGATTCAGAAACTGCCTCAAAATGTGGAAAGCATACAGAAGCTAAGGGACCAGTGAAACGGTTATCTTTGAGGGTTGGAGACTCCTTGGAGTGCAACCACATTGAGTGTAAATTGACTGTTACAGGGCAGGCCTGGAAGGGAACAGCATAAGCTTTGGATTAGGGTGTGCTGGCGTGGAAGAATAATAAACTCATGTCAACGTCAGAGTTTACTCAGTTTGCAGTATTACTTAGTACTTCTTTCTCATAGATTTGTTGGCAACTCACACTGCATTTTGATGCCAACAGAACTGCGTATGTACCTTTGCTAACCACGTTTAACCAGACCAGGTGAGGCTTGTGCCTCTACCCACCCATGAGCGTTGCCTTCAGAGCTCTGGATCTCAGCACTGTGCAGTTCTGCATAAGCCCTGAGGCTGAGCGTGGAAACAGTGCTCTAGTGTCACATGAGGAAGGAGCTCAAGCTGAATAAACAGGAACTCCAGATGGAAGACCA